GGTTTTCCTTTTGGAACCGGGGGTTTATTGTTTTTTTCCTTGTTGGGGGGAAATTACAAAACCCTTGTTGGGGGGCCCCCCGGGGGGGGGGGTGGTTTGGTGGTTGTTCTAAAATTTTGGGACCCCGGAAAATATGGTTTTATTCAAAAAGTTGGTTCCTGGTCCAAACTTTTCAGGGGGCCTTGAAAGGCCCCCATATGGTTCCTTGTCCCTTGTTTTTTCGAAAGGTTTTTGACCTTTAAACCCGTTTTGGGGGGGGAAAAAGGGTTTTTAAACCGTTGTTGCCATTCCTTGGGGAACCCAGACCCCGGGTATTTCCCTTAAAAACCAAAGTTTTTTTTTGAAAAACAAAACCCCTTGGCCGGATTTTTTTTTTTCCCAGGGGCAAAAAGGGGGAAAGGGGCGATTTGGTTGCCCAGGGGACCAGGAAAGACTTCCCAGAAATTTTGGGGGTTAAATAAAACCTGGTTTTAAAGGAGGGGGGGGGGGGGGGGGGCAGCTCCAAATGTCCCTAATACCGAAAGGAGTCTTCTTGTGTGAGTCAAGCCCAACATTCAAGAGGACGTCCCTCCTAGACCGCAACCAACATCCTTACGAAAGCTCTTGAGGGAAACAGTATATCTATGTGCACCCGTAACTCATTCCCGGCCCATACTCCACATAGCATGCTTGGCCTCACCTCCATTTCCGCGGAGGTGTGAAGGCTGTGCCCAGCTCTCCGGAGAAGCAGCTGTAGCCGCTCCGTCACATCCCTTCATCGCATGTTGCACGCCACGATACACCACACCATTCACCGAAACGGAAAGCAAGACGGTGAGAGGGGGGAGGGGGAAAGGGGAGGCACCAGACAAAGGGTGCAAGAAACAACAACGGCCCAGCAGGCGCATGGAAGCTCGATACGAGAAGACAGAGAAATATTCTCCACATGCATACACAAAACACTCAAACACACACACGCACACATCCCGCTACAAGACGGAGGTCTTTTCATTGGCCAGCCCGTTAGCGTGGTCGATTCCAATCCAAACACGTGCACACACACAACTTTGAGACGCGACATGAGGGGCGGGGGTGGCGGTCGGTATTGAAGGTCAATTCTCTAGCAGCAAGCAACTTCTCTTGTTGAGTTCGTACTCATGAGCCCCCCCCCCCGTAGATGCAGTGCCCCGCCCTGTAAGAGGTTCTCCTATACGCGAACTTCACAGGCCGTCCACCAGCACACAAGAGACGGATGACTCGCACCCCCCTAACCGGCACGCCTTTCCTTTTAGATGTAGCACTGCCGCGCGGCGGCTGAGATAACAGCGCCTCTAGTTTCTGTGCGCATTAAACACACAAGGGTCCAAAAAGAGCTACCAGCGACGAAAAAATGAAAGCACCGCTACAACTGCGAATCTAACACAAAGTACGTTACGCCTACATCACTACCGACGTCACACACGCACACCTTCTCGTACCACGTTTTTTCCCCCCGCTACACAACAAGGAGAAGTGCATACACAAACAGCACACGCCAAACAGCGCACCGTGAGTGCTTGCTAAACATGGGCACACGCGTTCTATCTACCTTCCTGCCACATCGATTCTGGTGATGGCGTGTCGGACGGCGAACCCCTCGTACACCGGCACGCAGTGGGTCACCCCGTCCCCCGAATCCAACACCACGCCCGTCGTTCGACCAGACGCGTACAGGCTCAAGATCGCCTGATTGGTTGAATGGTTGGTTGGCCCCGCGAGAGCAGTCCACAAAGAGAGTGGCATCGCCCGAACGAGTGTACGCAAACGCAACAACGAGAGAGAGACAGAGAGATAGAGAGAGAGACAGGGGTTTCTACAAGAGGTATTTGGGGCTTGATCCAACGTACATGTAGTAACCAGACCCAGGGACCCACGGATGCCCCCGGCAGGCCTCTGAATTCGACCCAATTATATGTGCAGGAGGGGCAGCGGAGTAATGCCAGGGGTGTAAGTTGGGTGGGGTGGCAAGGTGACACTACTGCTCAATACATCGGTGGAAAGCCCTCATTGAGATGAAAACCGACCGCACACGAGTGTGGCTCTCTCGAGACCCACCGCACGCACATCGAAAAGTGCAACCCGTTGAGAGGAGAATCCGCACGGCCCCTTTTGGGAACAATGCCTGGACACAGCACTTGCTACTACCGGCACCCCCGTAACGGGGTAACGTTCATTAGTATTGCAAAGCTTTGGCCAAACACTCCCACCAGCACCTTGTGTCAGTACACCAATACCCCCCCTTAAGGCGCACATGGCGGAGCCCCGAGAGATCGACCGAAAAATCGCCTGGCGCAAGCTGAGATAACCAAGCCCGGCACAAAAACGACCGTGCGGCTACTTGACAAGGAAGAAGAGCTGATTGCGTCTTGGCCGCCGTCAAATCGCAGAACATATGTTTGGCCTACCCGTTTGTACCTTCATCAACCACACCACCAAAAAAACAACCCTGGCACCAACAGCGAAGGAAACAGCAGCAGCAGCAGCAATAACAACCACAAACACACGGAAGCACGGCAGCAGATCACCCCACGAAGGCCGTATCTAGAGGCGACCCAGACTCATCGAAATCCCCATTCATGCTCGACATTTACGTCCAGCGGTCAAGTGCTAGCAAAAATCACCGCGGTTCTGAAAATATCGGGACATCGCACTATTGAGCGTTGGGGGCGGACTGTACATAGCTTTCAGTATGGTAGCCAAATCCCGTGACGAGGGATTGCTACCGCGCGGTATCAGGGCCCGCACTTCTCGGGACGGCGGTACATTGGGACCACCATTGTGTTGGAAAATTAAATGTCAGTTTGCTGTACATATCGAAGGTAGGTTAACAAGCAAAGGAGCATTCCCGGAATACTTTTTCATTGATTGAGTCATAGATCGAACTAATGTACACAACTACAGGATAGATATTGAACCGTAGACCAGGGTTTACATCCCAACACACTGCTGTACCTGAGGCGCGCAAAACATGGCGGGCACGCCGAAGGTTTCGAAGAAAGTCTCCGCGCACTGTCGGCGGTTCTTGTACGGGTTTAGGGGGGCCTCCGTGAGCAGTACCGCGTGATCCTCGGGCCCGACATTGAGGTTATCCCGACCGTAAACATGCGACCACACCTGTTTTCATCGGGCCACGAGAAAAAAAAGGGTGGGGGTTGTCGACTCAGGCTGCGGGACTGTGAGGTTAACCAGAGTTCACACCTTATAGGATGCCCGCTGAACAATTGGCTAGTTGGAACGCCCCAGAGCAAACATAACTATGAACCCCTCCCAGTGTATTGTACACGAAGCGACGTGTTCGCTGTGTGTGGCGCGCCTGCTTCGTACGAGCGCGCAAAGATCGAAGGCACTTGCGGTACTTGAAGTATAGTCGTGCCTGCCAGATGTGAAACGTTTGGATAGCCGGGATGGTCATTCAACCCATGGCATATATGGTATGGCACAGCAAACGCAAGGATGATGACACTATCAGCTTCTCGTGAAACGTAGCATGTACCGGCGAACCCCGGGCACATCCCTCCGTCCCGGCATGGTAGGGATGTCAAGTCAAACGGTCTAATGACTACGGTAGGCGTCTACATGAGTACCCCCTTCCGCACGTGAACGAAAACGCCTGCAATGAGGCAGGAAAACGGACGCGGGGGGGGGGGGGGGGGTACACCCGCTCATGTGCGTACGGGAGGTCTTGGACCCACTACAGCACAAAAAACGGCCGAGACGTAGCGAGCAACTTTTCGTAGACCAGGCAAGCGGTAGAGGGACCAAGCGCGGGGCTCTGCCTGAGCAGAGCTGTTAAAGAAAGCACCGAAGTAGTTGAGCGAACTCCGTGTGATGGACCCTACCCGTGGGGTAGGAGGTTAGAATTTGCGCTTCACTCGGATATTTGTCCATCGTTCATCTGGCTTGTTTCGCGGCTCACTTTTTCCATGTCGGCCCAGTTCTTTACCACCCCGTGCTCCATCGGATGCGTCAAACGAAACACGCCGCGGTGCTCCTCCACCTGCCGCCGCAATACCGCAAAAGAGTGTTGTGCGGGTTACTATAGGCATGCCTACGATTCGAAACAATTGAAGAAACAACATCAACAGCGTTTCAGGGGTTGCGTTTAGAGTGCAAGTAAAACCCGGCGGAGCCAGAGCATCTGTGGCGTACACGGGCCTATGACAATGGTATCACAAGCAACAACGGCACATTTTGCCTCACTCAGCTGAGGTGCTGGGAATTCCTAGCACGATCCTACAGCTGTCCAAGGGTCGTCCCCATAGGGAACACGCAGTGCAATCGGTACGCCAGGTACATCGAGAATCTCCAGCATTCCATACCGCGTTGGGTACGGCCGATGACAATAAAAATACCCCATTCCATCACGCGAACTAAACTACACACAGCACGTGCTTGGTTATCAGTTCAGCGGCGCGAGTTGACCCCACCTTCTTGCCGAGAAACACGTCGCCGCCGTCCAGAGCACCCCCGATCATCGCCCGCTTGTGCTTCGGTCTCCCCACATGGCTCGCAAACACCACCTACAGCAGTACCCCACACACAGACAGAGAGCATGCGGCAAGGTTAGAGGTCAGGCGTATATTGCCACAACCATGTTGGTATTCGAAGAGGCAGGCGTGAGGTGTTCACGGATGCGACGGCCACCTGTCGCTGGCTCGCGTTGGCACCCCCCCGGTACCCGGTATATTGTGCCCGTACGCCGGAAATACGTCAATTTGCTCTCAATGAAGAAGACTTCTAGAACACCAGCCGGGGAGTCGCCTGGGTCAAGCCAGCGAGAGCTTGGTTGTCAGCTGGCAAGGCGCAGGAGAAGGCTCGGGACGGCACAACAGCACCGATGGCGACACTGGCAACGCCAGCCCACTACAATGTAGGGTGCGTTTCGTTTGAACGGCAGCGCAGCCAGGCGGTGGAAGGGAATCCTTCCGCAAGACTGCTTGCCCTACCTGTGGAGCACTGCAGCTCCTCCTTCTTCACCCACAACGTATGTGCGCCGTCTCTGCGTGCAATGAGACACTGAATACGCAGGCACCCCCTATGGGGAGTGGGAGAAAGGGTGCACACCAAGAGGAGTGCCTGCGTGCAATCTGAAGCGTGTGTAGCTTGCGGAGTACAATCACTACTGGACGCTCCTTGTTCAGCTGCTTCGCTTGTAGTCTTTCACACAACCTTACACGCGTTTGTACATTGCGCACACCAAAACCAACCACATGGCTGCCTGCCCCGCGGTACTATCACTGCTGTGTACGGCATCTACGTAAGGGTGCTGTGCAGTGTCTTCTACGCGCAGCCCCGCTGGTGTGTGTACAAATGCGTGTATGAGACATTGAAGGCAGAAGGAGGGGGGCGCGGCGGAATTGGTCGTTTGAAATTATGTTCAATGTGATCAGCAGCAGTGCTTTCCCTCCCGGGGGAGCGGTCATCCACAACTAACCGTAGCTGCCGATCGTGGCTTACAGATCATACCAGTATTGCTATCGAACTTACACGCATGATGTGCACTAATAACCAATTCCTCAACGCCGTTCCCTACTGTTGCACACGAGTATCAACAGTCGAGTCGTGGAGTAGTCATACCTTCGGCTTGTCTGCTCCCGCGAAGCCTGCCTTGATGATCCCGGTGCCGTTGTCGATCACGACTGGTTGGTTCAGCACTGCCGACATACTGTTCCCCCGCTCCCGAGGCAAAGAATGGTGCCAACCCAAGCTCTCCTTGCGGGTGTGGGTCGAGCAGCGAGAGACAAACAAGGAACAATCGCGCACTGCCATCTGCCCCCTCCTCCCCCCCCCCGTTTTTTTGTATTGTTTGGGTCATGACGGGGGGGGGGGGGGAGGAAGGAAAATTTTTAATTGCCCCCCCAACCCAACCCGCGCCAGCCCCAAAAAT